TGCCACTTTTTTGAGTTTATGACCTCGAGAGATTCTGCCACACTGTGCAACTATCTCCTCCCTCTGCATCGCAGTCGCCGCAGAGAGGAATGCTCTTGCTGCTCTCTGCAAGCAGCATGCTGCATGTTCCTGTCTTGCGGTTTTTGCACGTTTCGCACCCGAGCACAAGAAGGGGAAATCGTAAAGCGCGATGCCAGGTCAAGCCACAGTCTTCCGGTGACACGAATTTGCCTGTTTCTCGGACAACAAATATGTCGACATGTTGATCTTGCAGGAAGCTCGTATATGGGTTTGGGCTTGGGCTTTTAAGCATTAAGCTCCAGGCTTGGGCTTGCCGCTTGGGTTTAGGAAGCTTAGTAAAGTTTAGTTTAGGACACACGCCCCAAACACCCTGACCCAGCCTCGGCCTTCGATCTGGCAGTGGTGAGGAGACGCACTTGGCAGATCCTGCGACGGCACGCTGCTTGTAGAGTCGCAGCCGCGAAGCGCTCCTGTGAGGACATGGGAGCAACATAACAAAACAGAACGCACATCGGGAACTGCACAATGCCCTCTCGCTTCTCACCGTTTTCAAAACCTAGCAACAGTGCCAAACAGGTTCGTCCCTCAGTAGGTAAACATGGTACGTACCTTGATCGATCTGTCCAGTTTGCGCTGGGCCCCTGCGCTGGGCCCCTGCATAAATAACCACCCCGGTGACAAGATCACCGGCAAGATCAGAAGTACCTAAACGACTCTGAACGATTCGGTCCTGGGCTGCTCTCTGGCGCTGCTTTAGTTCCAGCCGGCACAGATAGACATGGCAGAATCGCTGCAGATTCTTCACTGCAGATGCCTGCACTCGAGATCATGCAACGGTAGCGAGCGCAGTCGGAAACTTTCTGCGTGAGCGGGCTTCAGAATAAGCACGCAGTTCCCAAGAAGGAACAAACCCTTGCCAAATTAGCTGTCAGTAAGATGTCGGTGCACGAGTAGCTTCAGAACCTGATGTGATTCCACTAATCGAAACTGGCATGATTAGGTGCGCATCTCGGGCACGCAAGCGCGAGGGCGGCCAACGAGAGACTGTCCAAGTGATGTCGAGCTTACGAACATGCAGAGCTGGAGCAACCCAATACGACAGGACTTGCTGCCTCATTTCATGGATCGCTCGATACCTCTGAGAGAACCACACACAAGGATGTGTGCTGAGGACGCGAAACTCCGCACAATTCGTCTGTCCCATTTCACGAGGCATGGTGAGGAAAGACTCTCATGATTTTCCTCGAACCTCAAGCTCGCAGAAAGCGGAGATCGTGATGTGATGATGTGACTGCTTGCAAACGTGAATTCTCTGCGAACAGATGCAGGAGGCTTCCGAGATGGACATTTGGCCCCAGGCTTTCTTAGTTTGGCTTTCCAGCTGGGCGGCCTCATCATCTGCCGTACGCCTTCGAAGAAGATCCTCTCGATGAAGATGCATCCTGCACGTGCCCTGAATGGCTTGGAGCGCCTCCTGCACGGCGAATGTGAGCGCGCTTGCCCGGCATGTCCGATTTTTTTGTATACGTCGCAGTCAGTCCTCAAGCACTTATGTCACTAAACTTGACTAAACCACTACTACACTACACTCCCGGACTCACGGCGAACCCTGCGGATCGGTCCGGTCCTGGTGGGTTCCAGCAATGGCCGTGCCTGGTAGGCCGCGGCCGCCGCTGCCTTCGCTATCCTCGGGACGTGAACGGCTTCTCGCTGTCGATGCATCTAGGAGTCTAGGAGAGGTCTTTGGGTACCGACCCCCAGCGGCACAGCGCTTCTCGGAGTCGAAGAAAGCGAGTGTCTTCGCATCTCCCTGGGCGTGCTGCTCTCCTCGGCTTGTGGCGTCAGGACTGCGGAGAGCTCGAAAGCGAAGCAGCAGGACTGGAGCAGGCATCATCTGACGTTAAACTCTTTTCTGCTGCGGCTAAGGAACACTTACTGCACCGCAGCTCTCTGTACGGGCTGTGGTTTCGGCATCAGCTTTCTCGCCTCGGCAGAATGATGCAATATGAATCAGGTAGGATGTTTCCGACAGCACTTCACTGACTTCACAGAAGGCCCGCTGCATCTTAAGGGTGGGGCCGTCACAGATGGCTGCAAAGGGCGCAAGGAGCTTGGACATCAATGAGGACCTGAGGCAATGGCCACGGGGCCCTGGACACCATCTGTGGAACCCTTTGCCTGGCCCTTTTGGTCACTTGAGATGCCCGAAGAAGGCCGCAAGGTCAGACTATATCTGGGTGGTTGCCAAAATGATGGTCCTTTTTTGGGTCCGTAATATAATACGGCACCTAATATTTAGGGTACCCAAAAAGGGACCCTCATTTTGACAACTACCCATCTATGCAGGCGGAGCGACCTCACGGTTCGTTCCCTTGCTGCCTCCGCAAAGGGATCCAACCAGCTGCTGGACCCGTCGGCGGAGCAATGCCAGTACCTCAGCTGCCGCGCTCCCGCATCAGGCATCAGACGGCTCTTGCAGTTCTGGAAGATCAGTACATATGACAAGCTGCTTGAAGCCTTCTCCTGTGACATGTGGGCCAGACCTCAAAGTCAGCTCTCGCAGCACCCCAACTATCTCCCACTGCAAAGGCAGAAGTCGACTAAGCTGCGGACCATGCGCAATGTCGATCGCTGCTGTCGGCCTCAAGGGCAGCCCTAAACCCTAAGCCCTCTCTCCAAATCAGTCGGGACTTAGTAAGTAGGGTTATAACTAAGCTAACTATACTTATAACCCCAATTAGGGGACTTATTCTCTTACTTACTAAGTCCCATGGTCCTCCAAAAAGGCATGTCGCGCCTCAAGCCTCTCCCACCCCTTCCTCAGGTGCTGCCCGGGATGGTCAGACTGCATCGCTTCGCGATGCAGCTTCATTATCTCCTGAAGACTGTGGGCTCACAGACGGTCGTGAACCCAAATTGTGAACAGTGCTTCAACACTTTAAGTTCGAGGTGTTCTGAATCTGCTGGGCAGCAAACCCTGGTGGGTTTTTCCACGATTTGGTCATGCGATGAGGCCGACTGGCTTGCCACAAAGTTTAATTCTGGAACTCACTTATGGGGGTCGTGAAGGCAAGCCTGCCACGGGTGACTTGACACATACCTCGACCTCCGAAACAACAACAGGTCCTCGACTGAAATATGACGTGCAATGGCCAAGAAACCAGGGCCAGAAGCCTAAACGCTGGTCTGAAACTCCTCAAATCTCCTCAACCCACTCCAAACATTAAGATTAAGACTCTGATCCAATCACAACAAACCCTAAACCCCAGATGCCCTCGACCACAAACCCTAAAACCCCCAAATCAGCTCCTGAAAAACCTGATGGTCGGGATGAGTCCAGGAGCTTTGGCCACTCACCTCAGAGGCAATGTCCCGTACATGCCCACCCATGAACAATAACCAACAATGGCCAGAAGAAAAAGTAATGACAATAACAAAGACGATAATAGCGACAACAACTCATCTTATTCGTCTAATGCTAGTAAGTGCAACTGTAGTAAGAATTAAGAACAACAATACGCATGATGAGAATAGCAAGTCATGATAGTGCCTTATACATATGCTACATATGTGAATACTTTTGTGTTGTGCTTTTGTACAGCCACGGCTAGTTCTACTACGACGACGACAACTACTGCAATATCAGCAGCACTACTACCACAACAACTTACCTTTATCATTGCCAGTGTGATGAATCTTTGCTGTTCCTTAAGACTTATTGTTCCGGGCACAATCATCTTCTTTTTACTACTCCTGCGATTGCTATTGCAAATACCATGATCAGTTGGAAGCGAATTCCTAAGCAAGATGCCCACCTCGTGTACCCAGCCTCTCTCGAAGACATTCCGATCATGTGAGGCTATTGGCTCGGCCTCATTCCAGAAGTAGGCCGCTGATCTCTGCTCCTCTTCACGAAACATGCCATCGGGCTTGGGGATTCCGAAGAACAGCAGTTCGCATACACACTGAAAGGCAAGAGTTGCTCTGCCTCCACTTGTATCGACCATCCTTCTGGAAGGCCTCCCTTCAGATGGGCATGGAGGACGTTAAAGAGTTCTTCCTGCCGCGCAAGCACTATCACGTCTCTCCTTCCTTTCTTGTCCCGGCACCGATAGCTTGCATTGTATTTCTTGCTATTTCTTGCAACCTGCAAATTCTCAGCAGTATGCCGAGCCTACCTCTTTGGTGCAACAACGAACAGGCAAGCGGCAAGCGTTCCGCACACTCAAACAGCCTGTAGCACTAAATTAACTCCAGCTTGATGTTGCGGGAAGTCATGCAGACCAATGATGGCAGTCGACATGCGAAAGCTGATGACAAGACTACGAGGGTCAGGCATAATTCAAACGTATTCGGACTTCGATCCCTGTCCCCTACCTTCACCTCAGTACTTAAAGGATCATGGCACTTAGTAAGTAGGGTTACAACTAAGGTAACTATACTTATAAGCCCAATTAGGGGACTTATAACCTTACTTACTAAGTCCCATGGTCCTCCAAGTAAGGTACAGTACAGTAGAGATCAAATCAGGTCAGGCCTGCCTCACGCGCCCGATCCACTCCTAACAACCGTGGGTAATCTGAGGCCAGATCAACCTGGCAAGCCGGCTGGCGCAGTTGCACAATAAAGCTACACATCCCATGCCCGAATCTAAGCACTGCGTCCATCTGTAGCCCCAGCCTCTGCATATGTGGAGGCCCGTTCAGAATCGTCATCCTCAATTTGGCACAGGACTTCAAGACCACAAAAGCACGTCACAGAACCGAGCGTAGGCTGCAACGTCTCTGAAATAGACTCGCTCGCAACAGCACAGGCTGCCCAGGAGCAGGGTCGTGGGGGACGGCCATCACCCCGCAACCCTGCCTACGCTCTTGAGCAAAAATGCTCTGTCATTGTCACCGACATCTCTCTTGTGCAGTCACGAGCTCGGGACCTGTCAGGTTTAGTTTCAATGACACCACACTTGGACTGCTCGCGTCCTCCCGCATCATGCCCATGACTCGGAAGGACTCCTTGACTTCATCGGGGTACTCGAAGTTCTTGGCAATCAGCTGCAGATCCTGCATGGGACCCTCTTCCCGCATCGGAAAAGCTGGTGGCTTTGGGTGCCTGGAGCTCGGAGGTTTTGAGATCGAGGTACTCAGTGACCTCGGCTCCGGTCATCGGCGATGTCGCAATCTCGCTGCGATTCGGTCACGTGCAACCTGACCACAGACAAGGAGCTGCTTGAATGCGCTGGAAGGCCAACTCGACGCCAGATTTGTAGAAATAGTACCTCCCCAATGTTACCAGCATCGGAACAAGATCATTCTAGTTCGTCGCGTCGGTCTCTCGTGGCGTCGGAGCACGCTTCCTTCTTCAGCCCTGTGTGGTAGGACCGAAGCGCTTGCTCGAACTCCGCGATCCGGGTCCTCTCAGGCTTTGGATTCAGGGTTGTTGTTGAGAATTTGGGATTGGGGCTTCAGGGGGCATATCCCAAGCAAGGTGGGGAAGTTCCACATGGCTTCCAAGTGCCACACTTGTAGATCTCGCTCTGGATCTGGACCAGCGGCTGAATCGCCTAAGCACATCTTCTTAGCTCGGTGGCATCAAAGAATAAAACAGGTCCTCAGTATGCCTCATTTCGTACCGAGACGGCTGCGGTTTCAGTAGACTGACAGACCACTTTGAGCTGGGCCAAGTTGGCACTCACCTGCGCAACGCGTACGTGCCATCCAGGGCCCCGCTTGGAGAGGAAGGGCCGGGCCTTCTTCAAGCTCTTCAGCTGCTTCTCAACAGGAACGCCCTTGGCAAGTCGCTCCCAGTGAACTCTTGCCACAACTTGCCATGAATCACATCGGAGCCCACCTCCCTTTCGATGTGTGCCAGAGTCTCATAGATGCAATCCTATTGACAGCGCTGGTAGGAGTTTACAAAGCATGCGCTGCAGCAGCGATAAATACCAGCGCCTGCTGACGCAGCAGCTCGGATTCTTTCTGGTACAGGTCCTTGATGTGATTCATCACCTGCGACAGGTTAAAAGCGGTCACGAAGCGAAGCTCAGCAGGACCGAGTGCGAGCCTTTATCAAGCCCTTCACATCATCCTCGCTTAGCTTTGTCGCTTGCCCGGCCTTTCAGCCAACACTTCTGGCAACTTCCCTAAACCCTAAACCCTGAAGAACAGTTCTGGTCTGACGAGCGCCATTCGGCCTCGGTGCTTCTCTGGAACTCCTCCAGCCTGGGCCGTCAAGAGACGGACAGCAAAGGGAGCCGTTTTAGGGTTTTTTCTGGGGTGTTATAATACGGTTTAGGGTTTAGGGTTTATGATTTAGGGTTTAGGGCTTAGGCTTTAAATGGTTCAGCCGCAAGCAGAAACTTAGGAGAGTGCGACCGCAGTGTTGTAGCAAGCCAGCTGTGCACGTTCGGACCTGTGCCAGCGCAGAGTGCGAAAAGCTCACCGAATTCCGTGAGTCATCCATCCCTTCGAGCTCCATGCCCAAGTACTCGTTTGCCCGGTTCTTGGCATATTGGATGCAGGAGGCTTGGAAAGGTGATCCTGGAGAGCCAGCCCGTTTATGTATGTCCCGTTTCACCTCCTTAGGTACAACGATCCTGGCACCAAGTGCTCTTCGTCTTCATATCTGAAAGAGTGAGTCTATCGGGGGACTTCGAAAAGATCCCGCCGATCGTCCTCGAACTGCGGCTAGTTTTCCTGTCCTTAATGCCAAAGGTCCGTGCAGATGTATGCAAATGGATAAGACTCGCATCTCTGAGCGGGCTGCTCATCCACCATGTTGACTTTGATGATTATCGTGCCCACCTGCAAGGTAAACTACTTGCGGAGCGAGTACCGCGAAAGGTATGAGATCATGGAGCAATTGAAACCGTGTGCCTCCCTGTCTATGCGTGCACATTGCACACGTAACAACATACCGACCTACCTACCTGCCTACCTACATAATACATACCTACACATACCTACATATACCTACATATACCTACATGCATACATACATGCATACGTACATACACAGACATACATACATAAACATATAGAGTTATAGATGGACTCACACACATACGCACCTGCACCAATGATTTAGATGCTTTACATACTCTCCATCTATGCATTCATTTTGTAAGTCTACCTAACTATCTGATCCTATCTGTCTATGAAGCCTCTCGACTACCGACTGTACCGAAACACAAATGCAGGTAGCTGCGTTCATTCTTCATAAGCGCGCGTGCCGTGGCCAAATCTACAAAGCAGGGGTTAGGTCTCTCAGACCCGCCCTAAACCGTACACATCCGTATACATCGAATACTTAGACAGGAAGACACATAATAGCTCACGACTGCATAAGCCTTGTATCTACACACCTGCCCTTTCGGATGCATACACATACTCCGAACTGAACATGTGCGTCATAAACACATTCGAATACATGCACATGCTTTCGAAAAAGGCAGATGCCATTTGTTCTCTATGGCACACACAATGCATGCAGAGTTCTTTTTTGCGGGACGCACGAAACTTCGTCAGC